CCTACCTACCTACCTACCTACCTACCTACCTACCTACCTACCTACCTACCTACAGTATCCATCCATCCATCCATCCATCCATCCATCCATCCATCCAATTTGTTTGGCCATCCATCTCATATAAGTGACTCTTATATGCAAGTGGTTCACAACTGATAAAAACAACAATCTAATTTTTTTTTTTAAGTTAAAAACCAGTATACAAACATATAAAACCATCAAGAATCATTTTCAAACAAATCTAAGCAAAATGCACCACAATCTTCCAAAAATAGTATCAATCTCTCCCCATCATCATCATCATTATTCAACATTGAGTAACCCACAGGTTACTATAAGCCACAGTGCCCCATCTGAACCCATCCAGCATCCTGAGATTGTTTCAGTGAAATTAGGTGAAAAAATATTATATTTTGTTGGCTTGATTTTGGCCTTTGCTTTATTTTCTTTGTTTGGGTCAGGGGGTTTTGAAGTTATGAATGGGAACAATTTGCTTCTGGGAAGACTGTTCCACCAATCCGCACCTAAAAGCCCCCAGAATCCAGAAAACAGAGGAAGAAATATCTATATCCCTCTAGTTATTACTTTTGTTCCTTGTTTTTTTTATTGTGGAGATATCTGTGATGTGCCAAAGGAGGCCTGGTCAATATAGCGCCATCATAAATATCCAATATCATATTCTTGTCACATTTTCCATATATGTCTCCATCCATCCATCTATCTATCCATCCCTGACTTGTCATATTAGGTATCTCTCTATCTCTATTTATTATCTATCTGTCATCTATCATCTATCAGTTCCAACAAGTGTAGAACTTTCTCTTGTATATTTTGCACTTATATACACCACACCATTATCAGGAAGCTGTTTTTTGGTAAACCAGATTCAGCCTATTCTTCACATACCCTCTTCTCCTTTTTTAGTCACTTAGTGTGAAAGAATGGTTTGGTGAAGGCCGCGCTCAGGGAGATAAGCATTTCCTTAGCCCCCAGAAAGAGTGTGGGAAGGTGAAGAGGATGAGACTGACACCACACTAAGGAATTCACTGTGTTTGCTTGCTGGCTTGGGGAGTTTAGATTCAGTCCGGTGAGATTTCTGTCTTATAGGTGAAAGCTAATAAATGCTATAGAACTATATCTGTATTGTCTCATGGAGTTCTTTGGGCTGAACCTGACACTTAGCTTGTGTTGACCTTTGATACTTATAGGTCACTGTTCCAAAAATGCTGGAACATTTCACAGCTAGACAAAACAAAAGCAAAAATTTCCAAGGTAGCCTGCATTTTACAAATAATATTCTTCATCACCGGCTCAGATCAAGGCCCGCTTAAAGAGGAGAGTCTTCCGGGCTTTCCTGAAATGCCAAGAGCCTTATTTACAGAGTTAGCTTGTTGCTATAAACAGTATACATCACTACTTAGTATTGGTAAGTACAGAATATCAGTCTCTTTGGCACAATGTGTCCAGTATCCACAAGTGTAAGCAAAGCTGGATTTTACTCCAAGCATGTTTGTGCTATTTTATGCAAGCCAGAAACTCTAAAATATACCTTTCGAGGTGGCCTGTACACTTGTACCCACATCACATCAAGTTGAATGACGATGGTAGTGGTGGTGGTGATGAGGGGAGGAGGAGGATGTTGATGCTGTCCCACTATTAGGATCCCTAGAATATTGTGGGTGGCTTGGATGTCAGAATAGAACAAAATTTTGGAAGAAATGGATAAAAATAAGTTTTAAAATATAATATCTATACCCTTAAATGATCTAATTATCATAGTTCACTGGGCAGTGTATAAATTAGCTAAAATAGTATCATATAAAATTAAATAAATATCTAAATACACTGTGGTTTATTAGCTTTAAAAGGACACAGTCCTCACCATATGTAAGCATAGGGGAGCAGCAGCACCAACTTAAAAAAAGCATTACCATTTTTTCTTAACATGCCTGAGAAAGTACAGGGATACAGGGATATTAACCCGGTGCCTAAAACTTTTTTAATACAAGTAGTACAGCCTCTGCATATCATAAAACTTCATAAACCCATTCAACATTGTAACTGAAATTTCAAGATTCTTGTGAGAAAAGCAACATCTCCATGAATATCGGCCCCTCCCATGTAAGACCCTTCATATAAGAATAAAGTAAACTGAATCTGTTTTCAGCAGCATGGATGATTAAAAGGGAGCATCAAACAGTAATTGGAATGACTGTGGCTACAATTCATGCCACTATAAATCCAGGATGAATGTAATCTCCAAATTCACTGTTTTTACATTCATATCTGAAAGTTGTAATCCCAACACACCGGAAGTAAATGTAACCTCGTTTACTTCTGGTGTGTTGGGATTACAACTTTCAGATGGTCTCTTCACTGAAGTCTTAGTGCAAACAGTCTCAGTGTTTAAAATGGTTTATCTGCTAAAGGTCTACCTTTGCTTGCTGTTTTTCTTTTCTTTCCTTATTTTATTTATTTGTTTGTTTGTTTGTTTGTTTGTTTATTCCTTATTTCCATTTATGTTATTTATGTTATTTCAGACTGGTCAACCACTAAAGTAAAATAATTTCAAATTGCATCTTTAAAATCCCAAGAGACAATTGGCCAAGAAACTTAGTTCAGATCTGTATTGTGGAAGGTAAAGTACATCAACTGAATGGACAGTAGTCAGGAAAAAAAAAAATCTTATCTAAAGTGTGTGGGAGTGGGTGTGGTATATGTGTGTGTCTGTGCATGTGTGCCCAAGTCAGTCCTTATGAAATAGCATTGTTAAATACTTTAATTTACACATTAATAGTTCATCAATTTCCTTACAAAAGCACACACATAGACAAACCTTGGTAGAATTGTGGAATTCCTGCAGTTTCCCATATTATCATCTGTTGCAATAATTTCCTTGAATCTCCTTTTCTGTGCCTATGAGTTGTTCTTAAAACTTCAAGTATGCCCATCAGTCCCCAAAAGTTAAGGATCACTGTTATAACATATATTGAAACCACTTGCACTAACTTGTTCTTCTTGTATTTTAACTGTATGCTATTTTCCTGAACAGAATTCCTGCATTCTTTATTCTGAAATATGTATTGTAGAGTATTTGAGGAAAAAAAGAAAGGAAGAAAGAAAGAAAGAAAGAAAGAAAGAAAGAAAGAAAGAAAGAAAGAAAGAAAGAAAGAAAGAAAGAA